CAGACCTCAAAGTCAATGGCTTGACCCTCAGCGTCAAAAGTGAGGACACTAGGGGTAGCCATGACGACAATAGACTAGCAGTGCAAGCAGTAGGGGAAGGGCACGTAGTGACAGTGGGGCTGCGCTCACCGGACAGGGCAGGTCGGGCGGCTCGGTAGTAGGGCGGCTCGGCTGCTGGGCGGCTCGGCGGCTGGGCGGCTCGACGGCTCGGCGCTCGGCTGCTGGGCGGCTCGGCGGCTGGGCGGCTCGGCGGCTCGGCGCTCGGCTGCTGGGCGGCTTGGCTGCACAGTGGCTCGGCTGTTGGGCGGCTCGACGGCTCGGCGCTCGGCTGCTGGGCGGCTCGGCTGGTGGGCGGCCGGGCGGCTCTGCAGCTGGGCGGCCCGGCTCCTCCGGTACTCGGCGGCGCGGCGGTCGGCTGCTCGGGTGCACGCTGCAGGGTGGTGCTGCGGTCGGCGGCTCGGGTGGCGGGCAGGAGAGGAGAGTGGCAGGGCCGCAGCAGACGGGCGGCGGGGCCCCAGGTGCAGGGCGGCGGGGCCGCAGCAGAAGGGCGGCGGGGCCGGTAGAGTAGAGCGGCGGGGCCGCGAAAGCAGGGCGGCGGGGCCGCGAGGTGTAGGGCGGCGGGGTCGCTAAAGCAGGGCGGCGGGGCCGCGAAATGAAGGGCGGTGGGGCCGCGAGGTGTAGGGCGGCGGGGCCGCTAAAGCAGGGCGGCGGGGCCGCGAAGTGTAGGGCGGCGGGGCCATTGAAGCAGGGCGGCGGGGCCGCTAAAGCAGGGCGACGGGGCCGCTAAGGAAGGGTGGCGGGGCCGCTAAAGCAGGGCGGCGGGGCCGCGAAATGAAGGGCGGCGGGGCCGAGAAAGCAGGGCGGCGGGGCCGCGAGGTGTAGGGCGGCGGGGCCGCTAAAGCAGGGCGGCTGGGCCGCGAGGTGTAGGGCGGCGGGGCCGCTAAAGCAGGGCGGCGGGGCCGCGAAGTGTAGGGCGGCGGGGCCGCTAGGTGTAGGGCGGCGGGGCCGCTAAAGCAGGGCGGCGGTGCCGGTAAAGCAGGGCGGCGAGGCCGCGAATCAGGGGCGGCGGGGCCGCGGCAGTAGGGCGGCAGGGCCGCTAGGGGAGGGAAGGCCGCTAGGGCGGCTCGTCGAGTTAACAGCCCGAGGCGCGACTCGGGATGAGCGCGCTTCGGGCAGTAAAAAAAGTCGAAGTGGTGGGCCCTAGGCGCAGTTCCCACAGGGGAACCTGCTCGATACCATGAGAGTAGTTGAACGAGAATGGGAATGACTAAGTGAAAGTTGGGTACAAATACAAACCTGACAAAATTAGAAGAAAGAAAGAGGGTTGAACTAGCAGGAATGAGGATACAAATAGCAAAACCCTAGAAGGGTTGTACTCGCTATAGAGCACCCCACTACAGGCTAGAGCATAAGATAATATTCTGACACACCCCCATAGCCAAAGTGGGGTGTAATCAGCAGAGCAGGCAAAGGAGTACAAGCTCAGGGTGGATCACAATGTCACCACACATTCTGAGCACAAGTTCAAGAAGCAATAATTTAGAGTTCACAATTATGAGCAAAGCTAGTGGTAGTCACAACGGGCAAGTGAGGAGGAGGAGGGAGAGTGAGAGGAGAGGAGATAGAAGACGGCGGCTGAAGCTGCAGACACACGGGCAACAGGAGTGGCGAGCACAGTGGCTACCGGACTAAGCGCCCGGACTACAGGAGCAACAGGCCCCGCGGCTTAAGCAGCGGCAGACGGGCAACGGACCCACAGGCGACTGGCGCAGCGACAAGCTCACTGGGGTACCGGGACAACGCCCCGGACTACAGGTGCTGCTGACAACATGTTGGCAGCCTCCACTCAACCTCCCGCAGACAGTCCCACCCCCCTGATACACACCCGCTGCTACACCCCTAGCTCCACTCCCACGCACCCCCCTTAAACCCTAAACCCCAGTCTCCCACACAACCACCCCCCTCAGCGACAGCTGCAGCAGTGGGAGACGAAGGAGGAGGAGGAGCAAAGGGAGGAAGGCACACCGCCCCCCCCATACCCGACACCCCACCACTCGCCCCTCCGCAAGCGGCCCCCTCAGGTCGCCTCGACAGGCAACGGGAAAAGGGGGGGGGGAAGGCGGGGACGGGGCCGGGGCCGCGACGGGTAGGGCGACGGGCCGCATGTAGTGCGGCGGTAGGGCCGCAGGTAGGGCGGCTGGTGGGCCGCAGGTAGGGCGGCGAGTGGCCGCAGGTAGGGCGGCTCGCGGGCCGCAGGTAGGGCGGCGGGTGGGCCGCGAAGGTAGGGCGACGGGTGGCCGCAGGTAGGGCGGCGGGTGGGCCGCGAAGGTAGGGCGGCGGGTGGCCGCGAAGGTAGGGCGGCGGGTGGGCCGCGAAGGTAGGGCGGCGGGCGGCCGAGACGGGTCGGGCAGCGGGGCCGCGACGGGTCCCCGTCGCCCGTCGCGGCGCCTCCAGAAGGCGACGCGACGAACGACGGGGCAGACGCCCGCCGCGCGCCTCGGGGCGCACAGCGGGCAGAGAACCGCCGCGCGCCTCGGGGCGCACGGCGGGCAGAAAACCGCCGCGCGCCTCGGGGCACACGGCGGGCAGAAAACCGCCGCGCGCCTCGGGGCGCACGGCGGGAAGGAAAAGTAGCAGCGGAAGCGAGGTGGTAACCCACCCACAGGATCGATCCAAGGGATCGACCTGCTCTGATAGCATGACAAAATTAGAAGAAAGAAAGAGGGTTGAACTAGCAGGAATGAGGATACAAATAGCAAAACCCTAGAAGGGTTGTACTCGCTATAGAGCACCCCACTACAGGCTAGAGCATAAGATAATATTCTGACAAAACCCTAGAAAGCTGTACCCCATATGTGCTACCCCACTATAGCCTACAATAGCTATGTCACGTACATCTGACACTACTGCTACAAGCAGTTTATATAAGAGATATATTTTAACACTTGTGCCCATTTGTGCGTGTTTCGATGTTTGTCTCGAATGGAGCTGGGGGCCATGTGGGAGAAGCTGATTGGTTGTGATTGGTGTTTTGGTTGTTTTGAACTAAGAAAAACATTTGATGAGGCTGCTTGTTTCGTTGTTCTTACATTCGTTGATTAACCTGTAACACACATGTGGGACAAGTAGGGCCAACCATTACTGTTGCGAATCGGACAAATCGGGTGGTTACCATGTTCAGTTTTGAAGCACGCATAAGGCCAAACGGAACGTACGAACCCCATGCGAAATGCAGGTTTAGCTTACAGACCCCCTTCACAAGGCAACCGGGAGGGGCTCTAACGGGCATTAGGTGTATACTTCGATTTGTTTCCTTATCTCGTGTTGGATCCTTCTACAAGTGATGCCCACCCCATGCACGCGAATTTTCTCTGCACCGGATGGAAACGCTGCACCCGAGGTTTTTTCCCCAGCCTGTTGCACCCATGGTACAAGCGCGTCGCGTGGTTATGAACCAATTGTAACGAACAGATCGAAGTCAAACCGAAGAGACTGAAGTCAAGATGTCAACGGATAAGGTTACAGATCCTTTATATAAGCACATGCGAATCCTTTTTAGCTAGCTGCAAATTGACGAAACTTATGCGAAATGCACGTTATAGCTTATACGCCCCCTTCACAAGGCAACCGGGAGGGGCTCAATCAGGCATCAGTTTGTTCACCTGTTCCGAGATAATTTCTCACGGTACAATTTCACACCGCGCTTCGATGCCCTCGGCACAACCACGGGCCGCTGATCAGTCGAAACGCAGTGGGACATGGGGCCATTTCGGCGAGAAACGACCTCTTTATACTTCCGAGCTGTGCCATGTGTTGGGTTCAGCCTTCCGAAAAACGCAAGGCCGTATCTTTAGCGTTCCATGTCGAGTTTGTTTCGTTTTGATTTCCCGAAAAAAACAAAAATCAAAATTATGCGTATGTGACTCGGTAAACATTTTATGTGTGACTCGAAGGACTGAAACATGATACTTAATTACGAAATTGGCGAGGGGAGATTCTAGCTGGTTCTAACTGTGCCCAGGCCGAATTCTGACGTGATATTTCTCCACTAGATGAAGAAATTTCCAAAGATCATCACGAGATCACTGTCCATATCAGCACATCCCACACGCGGTCCGAGTGTGAAATTAAGAGGAAGAAATTTCTTACCCCAAATTTCACATCCCCTGGGGCAAATCTCCACGCGTTTTGGGAGTTACAGAGCGTGAAAGTATCGCGAGAAAGGTGTACCAAAAATTTGAGCTAACAGAATCCTATTTGTCTACACCGTAATCCGTGCTGTTGTCGGGCTCGCTATCTATTTGCCACGCTTCGGTAATTGCTACTTGTAACCACATCGTTGAATTCGTCGTGAGACAAGCTCAGCGATACCTCACTACCCTAAAATGTTCCTCAAATCACTACAGACCATTTCGAAAGTTCTATTCCATCCTCAACCTAGATCATCTCCTAGTATCCCCTTCACCACCTCCTTAGATCTTCTCGCCGCACAGATAATGCGTGAGTCAGCGGAAATTCTAGTGGGTGTCTGAAGGTGACCAGCGTCAGCAGCAGCAGCAGCGGCGGCGGCGGCAGCAGCAACTTTACACACCTTCCGCCTTTTTTTGTTGCTCCAGCATTTCTTGCCATCCCCCTCAGCTTACACATCGCCCCCTAGGATGTCGAACGAGCTTCATCTCCAACCGCAGAAGGATTGGCAGCGAGAGCAGCAGCAGCGAGAGCAGCAGCAGCAGCGAGAGCAGCAGCAACGAGAGCAGCAGCAGCAGCAGCAGCAGCAGCAGCTACTGTCGCAACAATGGCGACATCACGAGGACACGAACCCGCAGTCGGCCGCGGTGCCGCATATCGAACCGCTTTCGCTCTATCGCCTTTGTCGCGAGAGGATTCAAGGGGCAAGCTACGGTTCTGGGGTTTCTGAAAATGCTCCGTCGCCTCTGGTTGCATCTGGGCCGTTGATTTCGCACTCGTCTAATCATCCAACGGGTCGGAAGCTCTTGCACATGCCATCAGCAGCTACTGCGGGGATAGCATCAACGCCAGCTCAAACGCCGGTAGTACATGCAGCAGCAGCGCCGGCAGAGGGAGGACCCCGAACAGAAGAACCAGCTGCAGAAACCGCAGGAGGGGTTTTAGCAGGAGACGAAGTCGCAGCTGCGAGAAGGGGGTTAGGAGTGGAACGGCGTGAAGGAGAAACAGTTGAAGGGGACCCACTACGAATCCCGGGTGCTGAAGCTGAGAGAGAATCGCAACGAGAATCGTTGCCTCTTTTTCAGTTACACCGTGTCTCTTTTGCACGTGGGGGGAACGTGGAGCCTAGTGGGGAGCTGGAGCGATGGCTCAAGAGGCAGGAAAGTCAACAGAGTCAACAAATTCTGGAACGGTTGGGGAGTCAACAATCACGGAGACGGGACAGGAGGGCTGGCAAGGACGGGGAAGTGGAGGGGGAGAAGGAAGGGGGGTTGGTGGATGAGAAGGAAGAAGAGGAGGGGGTGGAGAAGGGGGAGGGTAATGAGGAGGGGGAGGGTAATGAGGAGCGGGAGAGAGTGAACAAGAGGAGGAGAGAGCGCAACGAGCAGTGTGAACAAGGTGACGGACGGGGAGAGAGAGATGGGCGCGCATGGGATTATTCATGTCCTTCTCCAGAGCAGCTGCTGTGCTCGCATGTTCAAAGATTCAAGTCCATCCGCAGAAGGTGGGTGGTCTGTGATGATGCACATGAATCCCATTCGCATTCGTCGCATTGTTCATATGTTAAAAGTAGGTAAGTCTATTCGCAGGGATGAGATGCTTTGTCCACACTGTGTGAGCTCATAGCGTTGCCAGTAGTGTTTATCCTCCTCCTCTCATCCAATCATGTTTTCTCTCCCACGTACATTGAACGGTAATTCGTTCTCAAACTGTGAGCCACCCCCCCCTCCCCCCACGACCACCCCCCCCCCCCCCCCCCCCTTCCCCCCCTTGCTGCTCCTCCCCCTCCCTCTCCCCCTCCTCTCCCTTTCGGCTGATACAACCTCATATGCAAGCCACTATCTTCCCCTCCCTCCAGGATTTGTTAATATTCTCTGATACCCAGGAGAACTTACAGCAATACTTGGCTGATTTACCTTATCACTCGGCTGATTTACCTCTTCTTACGGTACTCTCCTGTTGCAGTTATCAAGAGGAATTTATCGGCAGAGCCAGGAAATGTTTGAAACAGCTAGAAGAGATATTGATTCCATCAGTAGGCCATGCACAATTTCCGTCTCATGTGCTACCATCCATTGACGACTCCTGTATTATGCGCCAACTAGGAATAGCCAGCCACATAAAGTAAGGAATTAGCGCAAGCACCGCTACGTATCTTGTATGTCTTGTGTTTTACTTGCCTGGTGTGCGCTGATTACGGTAGATTTAGCCTGCCATTCGAGTACGGTGCAAGGACTGCTACCCCCCCCCCCAGAAAAAGTAGTATCCATAATGCTCGGACTAAAGTACCGTATGGCCATGGATATAGGCGCCGGCCTATTACAGGCGCCGGCGCTTCTATCTGGAGCATGGAGCTTATGGCCGATCCTCTATTATAAGCACCCCCCCTGGAAAACCAGTACTTATTATAAGCGCCGTGTGCAATTTTCATTTAAATATCAGTTAAAATCGGTAACGAATTTCAGTTTTGCAGCGAGTCAAATTTCATTTTCGCTTTGTTTGACTCGCGAAGACCTGACTGTCTGCGCGTCCAGTCAGGATGTGCTGGCATGCCTGCAAAGTGACGCGAATTTGCCCGTGTACAGGAAGCAGAATCGCTTGCGCACGATTCTGCTTTGTGACGCTATAATAGTTCGACTCGTCTGAAATGGCTACAACGAAAGGTACAGTTTGGTACCTTTAAAGATAAAAATTGTATTTGTCATTAAAGAAGCGCCAGCGCTTATGGCCGTTGCTCAATTACAAGCGCCAACCTTGAAAAAAAATAGCTTATTATAAGCGCATATGCGCTTTTATCTGGGGCCATACGGTAACTACCCAGCCACAAGGTGCATGATGTCTGGACTTAATTGTTTTCGATTGTAAGCACATTACCATGCTAGTTGTGCAATTGAGTGAGCGAGCGAGAATTGCACTATCGAAGCAACGGTACAATGAGCGAAGGCATGAGCGAAGAATATATAGCGAAACTATGGTGGTAACGGTAATGCATGAAAGTGGGGTGCGCGAAGGGCCTGGCGCCGAGGTTAGGAAGTGCCGAGGCGGAGGTCCGTAGCACGGGTTACCAACCGAACTGTGAGGTTGGGTCGCGTCGTGAACAGTGAAAGGTACAGTGTCGAGGCGAATGTCGCGAGTGGTAACGGTTTACTGTTGGGTGCTGTTGGCGAGAACAGTGGTGTACGCGCTGAGTAGGGACGCGAAGTAAGGAAAATGATTTTTCCTTTCACTACCCCCCCCCCCTCCCCCCCGCGAAGGAGGCCCTCCTTACGAAAGCGCGTGTACATCCCGAAAATTCCGGTTGCGCAGATACTCTGTGAGGACGGAATGGTTTTCGATTCTATCCAGGGGAACCCAGTTGTCTTCAGTGAGTGTACGGTCTCCCCAGCGGATCAGGAATTCGATCCTTCGAGCTCCTCGTGGGTCACGAACGCCGAGGCTCAGAATTTTCTCAGGTGTGATGATTGGCTCGGTCGGCGGTCGTGTCATGCTGGCTGGGCGGTTGCGTGACAATTGGCTTGTGGATGGTACGTAGGAGCGAAGCAAACTGACGTGGAAAGACGGGCTGATGTACCAATCAGCGGGGAGGAGGAGGTGGGCGGTAACGGGTGTAATCATGTGGCTGATGTGGAATGGTCCACAGTATCGAGGGCGAAGTTTTGGGGTAATGGGCAGGCGGAGGTTCTAGGTGTCAAGTAAAACTAGGTCGTCGGGCTGGTAGGTGATAGGTCGGCGGTGGCGGTCGGCGTTGCGTTTAGCGATGATGTTCGATTTTTTAGTTGCGACTGCTGCCCGGGTCTGTGCTGCTTGTAAATTTTCGGCGAACTGTTGTGCTCGTGGCATCGGGTTGTCAGGATTTGGGGTCATGGGTACTGTTGGGTCTTGTCCGTAGTTCAGGTAAAACGGTGACTATTGGGTCGTGGCGGAAGGTGAGTTGTTGTACGCGAACTCGATGAGTGGCAGTTGCTGATCCAAGGTGGTAGGGTCGTCGCACGTGGCTCGGATGAGTTGTTCCATGGTCTAATTCGTCCTCTCTGTCTGTCCGTCGGTCTCGGGGTGGTACGAAGAGCTGAACTGTAGTCGCGTGCCAAATTGCTGCCATAGGTTCCGCCAGAAGTTGCTGATGAATTTTGTGTCTCGGTCGCTGATGATCGCTGCTGGTATCACGTGCAGTCGAACGACGGTGGAGATGAAGAGGTGTGCTGTTTCTTCGGCTGTGATTGATTTCTTTCAGGCTGCGAAGTGTGCCATTTGTCAGAACATTATAGCTTATGCTTTTGTGTAGGCTATAGTGGGGTATCCCATAGGGGGTACAACCCAATTAGGGTTAGTACTTGTACCCACTTCATTCATAGTTCATTCATTCGCGTTCACTTCTTCACATGGAATCAGAGCAGGTCCCCTCCTAGGGACTGTTCCTAGGGCCCACCGAAGCGCGCCCCGAGGCGCGCGTTCCTTTTTTTTTAGCGACCCTCCGTGTCGCCCCTAGCGGCCCGTTACGCCGCCCTCACCTACGCGACCCCGCCGCCCTTACCTACGCGGCCCCGCCGCCCTTACCTACGTGGCCCCGCCGCCCTTACGTCGCGGCCCCGCCGCCCTCACGTCGCGGTTCCGCCGCCCTTACCTACGCGGCCCCGCCGCCCTTACCTACGCGGCCCCGCCGCCCTTACCTACCCGGCCCTGCCGCCCTTACGTCGCGGCCCCGCCGCCCTCACGTCGCGGCCCCGCCGCCCTCACCTACGCGGCGCCGCCGCCCTCACCTCCGCGGCCTCGCCGCCCTCACCTACGCGGCCTCGCCGCCCTCACCTTCGCGGCCTCGCCGCCCTCACCTTCGCGGCCCCGCCGCCCTCACCTTCGCGGCCCCGCCGCCCTCACCTTCGCGGCCTCGCCGCCCGTGCCTACGCGGCCCCGCCGCCTTCTCCTACGCGGCCCCGCCGCCCTCACGTCGCGGCCCCGCCGCCCACACCTTCGCGGCCCCGCAGGTCTCCCCTCCTGCCGAGCCGCCCGAGCAGCCGCCCGCCACGCCGCCCGGTACCGGAGCAGCTGAGCCGCCCAGCAGCAGTCGCCGAGCCGCCGGGCCGCCGAGCCGCAGTCCAGCCGAGCCGCCCAGCAGCAGCCGCCGAGCCGCCGGGCCGCCGAGCCGCAGTACAGCCGAGCCGCCCAGCAACAACCGCCGAGCCGCCGGGCCGCCGGGCCGCCGAGCCGCAGTACCGCCGAGCCGCCCCGCAGCCGAGCCGCACTTCTGCCGAGCCGCCCGACCTGCCCTGCCTGGTGAGCACAGCCCCACTGCTACTACGTGCCCTTCCCCCACTGCTTGCACTGCTAGTCTGTCGTCATGGCTACCCCTAGTGTCCTCGCTTTTGACGCTGAGGGTCGAGCCATTGACTTTGAGGTCTGGGTCGACGACCTGCAGCTGTTTTTACAGTGCGATAGGGCGGACGGTCTTTCTCTCTTTGACCTCACCTCTGGTGCCTCCCCTGCTCCTGCTGCTGATGCTGACCCCACTGTTCGCTCTTAGTGGGACACCCGCGATGCTGCTGCACGTCTTGCTGTGCGTCGCCACCTGTCTACCACTGAGCGCGCGCACTTTAGTCAGTACAAGAGTGCTCAAACCTTGTACGACGCTGTAGTTGCGCGCTACTCTTCCCCTGCCACTGCTGCACTGAGCCGCCTCATGCTACCGTACCTCTTTCCTGACCTTGCTGCCTTTCCTACAGTCGCTGACCTCATCACGCACCTCCGCACTTCTGACACTCGCTACCGCGCCGCACTTCCTGCTGAGTTCTGCGCCAGGAACCCCCCCCCCATGTACATCGCTCTCTATTACATAGTCACTCGCCTCCTTGACTCCCTTCGCGTAGTCAGGGACCACTTCCTCTCAGTCTGTCCCACCACCCTCACTGTCGACCTCCTCGAGAAGGCCCTCCTAGCGGCGGAGAAGAGCATAGTCGCTGTAGGAGCCTCTCGTGGTGACCCGCGCACCCCCATCTTTGAGGGGTGTTCTCCTTCCCCCCTGCTGCCCTCTGTTGCCTCTGCTGTTGCTGCCGACCTGCTTGGTCTTGAGTCGGTCGGCGCGGCGTCTGCCCCTAGCGGGAGACGCAGCCCTAGCAAGGGCAAGGGGGGCAAGGGCGCGGGTGGAGCTGGCGGGGGCGGTGGAGGTGGCAGTGGCGGTGGCGGAGGGAGTGGGGGTGGCGGTGGGAGTGGTGGTGGGGGTGGTGGTGGTGGTGGCGGCAGCGGAGGCGGCGGCGGTGGCGGCGGCGGCGGTGGGAGCGGAGGCGGCGGTGGTGGCGGAGGTGGAGGCGGCGGTGGCGGAGGAGGTGGAGCCGGTCGGGGTAGTGCCCCGCAGCGGAGCGGCTCTGGTGGTGGTCAGCGCCAGCAGCAGCGGCAGCAACAGCGTTCTCGGGACATCCCCCCGCCTCAGCAGCTCCGTGAGTGGTACACGCAGCGTCAGCGTGGTGGGGGTCTTGGCCCGTGCACCTACGTTCTTTGTTCCGGCGACCGCACGGGTGAGAAGTGTGGGGGTGCCCACTCCACCAAGCGCTGCTTTGGCCGCCTGACGGACGCTTGGCGTCAGCAGTTCCCCGAGGCTAGTGAGATTCCCCGCTGGGGAGAGCTGTCTAGGGCTGGCGTAGCGATCTTTGATCTTGACTTTGATGCTATCCTTGCTGCCATGTATGCTGTGACTATTAGTGATGAGGGTGACTGTTACCGGTGTTTCCCGCCCGACCCGGGCATTGGTACTGCTGCGCTAGGTGCTTGTGAGGCTAGTGGTGTAGGTGCCAGTGCGTCTGCATTCTCAGGTACTGGTGAGGCTGCGCTCTCAGGTACTGCGTCGGCTTCGGCCTCCCTCACCTTCACACTTGACTCAGGGGCTTCTCGCTCCTTCTTTCGAGACCGCACCACACTCACGCCGCTTGGTCGGCCGGTTGCAGTCTCCCTGGCTGACCCCTCTGGGGGTCCTGTCCTCTCTCACTTCTCCACTGTCCTCCCGTGTCCGGCTGCCCCCTCGGGCACCCTGTCGGGTTTGTACCTCCCCTCGTTCTCGACGAACTTGGTGAGTGGTGCTGACCTGCAGGACGCGGGGGTTCACCAGTTTACTCCTGCAAGTCAGCGGGTGACCCACTGCTCGGA